GATTAGATATAGCAAAAGATGAAAACCAAATAAAATTGGCTCCACACGAGTCTCCGACTAGTACATCACCATCTTCAGGTACATGTGTATTGTTAAAGAAATAGTTAATATTGGTATATCTATATTAAATAGTAGATATCACAGCATCAATTTAAATTCGTTGAACGCGATCGATTGACTAGACTAAATAATAGTAAATAAATCATTGTAGCAGTATGGGGAAAGTTATAAAGAAAATTTGCAACTTATGGAAAGCAACGTAAACTGCACCTTTGCAATAAAAATAAATAAATTAATAAAATAAATTTTTGCCTGGGTTAATTTTTAAAATTCGTCACTACTTACGAACATAATTCTAATTAGGTACGACTTTTTTAATACGTATGTTTTACCTTAGATTTGAAATATGTATACCGTTACATATAGAGAGATGTAAGCTAATACATCTATTTTTTTGTTCATCTTTCATAAATCAAATTTGTTTAATTTGAAAAACTCTAAAAAGAAGTGTATTGGTTTAATTCTAAAATGATAATTTAGGTGAAGGTGAGGGTGAAACAAGTACTGAAGAAGGCGTAGAAGGTCACGTAGAATCTGAAACACCTGAAACTCCGGTTACTTTACAAGATTTGTTAGGTGGTGAAGCAGCTAGAAGAGCAGCTCAGGAAAAAGCCGAAGCCCAAGCCGCCCAACAAGCCGCCATGCAAGCTATCGAGATGGAGCAAAAGCAAGAAGTAATAACAGAAAAATCCGCTGTCTCTCAAATTAATTTTGGCGCCTATGGTCAGAGAGCAGTTTCATTCCTTGCCAGAAACTTTTACAACTTGAAATACGTTGCTCTCGTCTTGGCATTCTGTATAAATTTCATGCTCCTTTTCTATAAGGTAAATTAATGTTTCCAAATTGTGTTATATTGTAAAATTGCCTTTTAAGTATTTAATTGAAATACGTATAAATTCTGTATACGTTATTTTTGTATATTTATAATATATATATTTCTTAGGTATCAACATTAGGTGGAGAAGAAAATGGTAGTGGAAATGGTAAAGAGTCAAATATAATTATATCAGGTGAAGGAAGTGGATCAGGTGGAGGAGAATCTTCTGAAGAAGAAGATGCAGTCGAACTGGTTCATGTTGATGAAGACTTTTATTACATGGAGCATGTTATGCGACTGGCGGCTCTACTTCATTCGCTTGTATCCCTCTGCATGCTGATAGCTTATTATCATTTAAAGGTTTGTGCTTGTTTTTTCAATGAAAAGGTGTGTTTTTACAAAAAGTGCCTTTTTTATTTGATCTTTATTTTAATCAGGTACCTTTGGCAATATTTAAAAGAGAAAAAGAAATAGCTAGACGACTGGAATTCGAAGGATTATACATTGCGGAACAACCAGAAGACGACGACTTAAAATCGCATTGGGATAAACTTGTAATATCAGCAAAGTGAGTAGTAGAATTGAAATAAATTGAAGGCTTTGATTCGAGTATGAAATATAACGTACAAATGAAATTTATTTTTAATTTAAAGGTCTTTCCCTGTTAATTACTGGGATAAGTTTGTAAAGAAAAAGGTGCGACAAAAATACAGCGAAACTTACGATTTCGAATCAATAAGCAATCTTCTAGGTATGGAGAAGACTTCATTCATGGCTCAGGATACTGAAGAAGGAAATAACAGCATTTTCTATTAGTAAGTGCTCATGTTGAGTGTGAAAATTAGTAACCATAATAGTATTTTGTGTGATTGTTAATAAACTATTCCGGTAAAAAATTGAAAAGAATTAGGTTTTTTCATTGTTAACGACAATAATTATGTAACCTATGACAGAATCTTTTACTTTCAGTCTTACCGAGTGGTGCAAAACATTAAATTCCAAAATAAAAAACGCTGTAATAAATTCGCCTACCTGTATATTAACACATTCTTCATTTCTTTTAGTTATTCTTTTTTATTTCTAGCATAATGAATATCGACTGGCGTTATCAAATTTGGAAAGGTGGTGTGACAATCACCGATAACTCTTTCCTTTATTCATTGTGGTACTTCACGTTTTCGATACTCGGTAACTTCAATTTGTTCTTTTTCGCTGCTCACCTATTGGATGTAGCTGTTGGTTTTAAAACTCTGAGAACGATCCTGCAGTCCGTAACGCACAATGGCAAACAGTTAGTATTAACGGTGATGCTATTAACAATCATTGTCTACATCTACACGGTGATAGCTTTCAACTTCTTCAGGAAATTCTACGTTCAGGAAGAGGACGAAGAGGTTGACAAAAAATGTCACGACATGCTTACGGTAATTGTTTCGATTTAAACATTATTAAGCTATTTTGTATTTTTAAGTTTTTTTCTCTTATGAACACATAAATTGAAATCACTTTTAAATATGCTTTAACAATTTCAGTAAATATTATATTTAAAAAAACTGCTCTCAGCACAGGGCAAAGTAGTATTACGTAAATGAAAGTTAGTATCAGCAATTTCTTATGCTGAGGTGTACAATGTGTTGCATACCTATTTAAAAATAATTCCTTTAAATTTTAATCATTGATTACTATACATCTATTAAAAAACCATAACCGACATCAGTGACAATGCGACAACAATTGAAAAAGATTGATGGCTGACAACAGCAACAATTAAAAAAGAATGATGGCCGACACTACGTCATAGTATTGTTCACAAAAGTGAATTTCGACCACTCGAAGCAATGGTGCTAACAGTTTCGAGCTCACAGTAACTTTTAGGGGGGAAGAACTAGTTCTAGATAAAACGAATAATTAATTCCAAGCATATTTTACTAGTGAATTTATTATAGTACTAGTCGTAATTCGTCCAAACTTAGACGGTAGTTCAAACCATTCCCACCAGAAACCCGTGCCATTTTTCAATTATTTTATATTGTATACTTTAATGTAAGTACGTATGTGTGTGCACCAATTATACATTTCAAACAAAAATTTAATGGTTGTCACTTATCATTAGAATGTATGCAGTATACACTTAAATGTATACATTTAGACCGTCCACTTTTTTCCTAATTGTTTTCTACCACCTACTGCTACGTCAAAATTAGTGATTTCTAAGTACGTCTGTGACACAATTCGATCTTTAAATTTATAATCTGCTACTCGCAGTTCCACAATATAATAAAGATTTGATTGCAGCAACCGTTATGATTGCAAGGCAAAAACGTTCTTTCGTTTTCATTCGCAAATATCTCTTAACCCGCTTGATAAAGTTCGATAAAATATTACAAAGATCTAGTTCTTAAACACAAATCGATTACCTTTATAGTATTTCCGTTTTTTTTTTTTTACATTTGTTAACCAAAAAATTATTTTCTACTGTTTTGTACACAACTAACTGAGTATAGCACAAGCAGACAAAGAAACCTACGCTAGAGAGCCTAGAACGTTTGTTATACATAAGAGAAAGTAACAAACTACATTATTTTTCCAGTGTTTTGTCTTCCATCTTTATAAAGGCGTAAGAGCTGGAGGTGGCATTGGTGATGAAATTGAACCACCGGACGGTGACGACTATGAAGTTTGGCGTATCCTATTTGATATCACTTTCTTTTTCTTTGTTATCGTCATTTTACTGGCTATTATTCAAGGTAAACTTGTTGTCTATAAATCAATAACTCGATAGATTTTTGCATCAAAGTGTTTGTTATTTTAATAATTACATTTTCAGGTTTGATCATTGATGCCTTTGGTGAGCTTCGTGATCAACTGGAAAGCGTAAAGGAAGATATGGAATCGAACTGTTTTATTTGTGGCATAGGAAAAGATTATTTTGATAAAGTTCCCCATGGATTTGATACACATGTACAACAAGAGCACAATTTGGCGAATTATATGTAAGCTGGATTATTTATTTAAATTTTAAAATTAAAACAACGGATTTATTTAACATTTAAGTTCTCCACGTTTCTGCTTCCAATATACAGAACCTACATAATTTTTTCTTGTTTCGTAGGTTCTTCCTTATGCACTTAATTAATAAACCGGATACGGAATATACCGGTCAAGAAACTTACGTTTGGAATATGTACCAACAACGTTGTTGGGACTTCTTCCCTGTAGGAGATTGCTTCCGTAAACAATACGAAGATGAACTAGGCGGAGGAGGTGGTTAAAATACAATCCACATATATTAATTAAAACGAACGTTTTTAATGTGAGAATATCCCACACACAATACTAGGTAATTTTTAAAATATTTTACAGTTAAGATTTTAATTGGTTATTCCCTATGCATAATTAATTAAAAGAGGTTTGCCATAAACTATTCATTAATACTGGAATTTTGTCTAGTTGATTATTTCTTTAAAAAATAAAAATTAAGTTTTTTCA